TAATATAAATTGATTGTTGGTACAATACCTCATTTAATATAAAATAATATTCTACTTTTGAAATGTATCGGGCCCTAATTGTACCTAAAAGTAAAATATATTTTTACTGATATACCATATTGTAAACTATTTAATATTTCAGTCACTTAAAAGTTAATTTGCATTGAATAATTGCCTACCATTAAAGTAAATTTGAGCTATATAATCCTTGATGGGCATCTTCCTCTAAATTTTGGGTTTCGTTCAACCGATTTATTCTCAAAACCTGAAACATCTACATATAAAAAGAAGCACAGGTCACTAATTATAATAAACCTCACCCTTGGAATTACTTCCACTAATTATAATAAACTTCACCCTTGGAATTACTTCTATCACAATTACAATACATTCATCTGCATTGGCATTTTCTACTGTTCAATGGGAAACAATAAACTTTCCAACATTTTTTAAATGATGTAACAATTCCTCTTGTGGTTACTTTTCCATAGATATCCTCATCTCTGTCCTCATGTGAATTCAGAGGTAACGAACATGAAAATTATTTACCATAAACATCGCAAACTAAAAACCTAATAAACAATTTTTAAAAACCTAAATAAACAATATAGAAATAAATTTAGTATTCTTACCTATTATCGTCCAAATCCATGTTAACAGATAATTATTATTTTTAAACATATTTTTGGAACTGCTGGTTTTAGTAATTATTAAATTAAACGAACTAAAAAGTCTTAAAAATGAACAATTTTTAACCATAACCCCCAAAAATACAGATCTCCTGTCAACTTTCTTTATTTTTTATTTATTCATTATTTTCCTAGTGACGTCACAGATGGTATGCGCGAACTGAACGAAATTGGAGCCGCTATCGATCATACCTTGTATTCTTTGTACCATGTACTGTACTAGTGATTTTATTTTGTGAGGAAAATTGTTTCTTGGCCTTAAGGGCTTATGCTCAAAGATATTCAACTAGGAATCTTCCTGATAAGCGTTCCTTGAAAAAATATTTCTCTATTTCGCAGAGCTATGGTAGTGTGGCATGGTATAAAGAATACAAGGTATGATATTGCGCAGGTTGGTTGCTACGTCACAGGTGATAACAGGCGCCATTGGTCAGCACGCTTCGCGCGCCAGTTCAAATCGTCAAGATATTGTTATAAACCTGTTTTTTTGTTTATATACCGTCATTGAATTATCGCTAAGCAAGTTACTGTGGAGCAGTGCATAAGGAGTCGGGCTAGGAAGCGAGAGACCGGAGTTCGAATCTCGGCCGGGACATAACTTTTTATTTATTTTTTTAAATACTGTTGTATTCTATAGTTTATTTTTGTAGTATAAAAAAAAGAACTATTTATTCTGTGATTTTTTAATCTCCGGTATTAATATAAATTGATTGTTGGTACAATACCTCATTTAATATAAAATAATATTCTACTTTTTGAAATGTATCGGGCCCTAATTGTACCTAAAAGTAAAATATATTTTTACTGATATACCATATTGTAAACTATTTAATATTTCAGTCACTTAAAAAGTTAATTTGCATTGAATAATTGCCTACCATTAAAGTAAATTTGAGCTATATAATCCTTGATGGGCATCTTCCTCTAAATTTTGGGTTTCGTTCAACCGATTTATTCTCAAAACCTGAAACATCTACATATAAAAAGAAGCACAGGTCACTAATTATAATAAACCTCACCCTTGGAATTACTTCCACTAATTATAATAAACTTCACCCTTGGAATTACTTCTATCACAATTACAATACATTCATCTGCATTGGCATTTTCTACTGTTCAATGGGAAACAATAAACTTTCCAACATTTTTTAAATGATGTAACAATTCCTCTTGTGGTTACTTTTCCATAGATATCCTCATCTCTGTCCTCATGTGAATTCAGAGGTAACGAACATGAAAATTATTTACCATAAACATCGCAAACTAAAAACCTAATAAACAATTTTTAAAAACCTAAATAAACAATATAGAAATAAATTTAGTATTCTTACCTATTATCGTCCAAATCCATGTTAATAGATAATTATTATTTTTAAATATATTTTTGGAACTGCTGGTTTTAGTAATTATTAAATTAAACGAACTAAAAAGTCTTAAAAATAAACACTTCTTAACCATAACCCCAAAAAATACAGATCTCCTGTCAACTTTCTTTATTTTTTATTTATTCATTGTTTTCCTAGTGACGTCACAGGTGGTATGCGCGAACTGAACGAAATTGGAGCCGTTATCGATCATACCTTGTATTCTTTGTACCATGGTAGTGTGGTTTATAAAAAACCTAGTAGGCAGAAACCTGTCGTTGGAAGTAAATAAAATGAATTTGCCGTAATTGGTTCTTTTATAGAAAATCCATATATCTACAAGTGACCGTAAAATAAATTAAAGAACTACTTCTTCGTTTTTCTTGATAGAATAATAAATTCATATTTAATAAATATTATTTAAAAAACTACTGTAGGCAAATTAAATAAAAATAAACTGCTATAAATTTAAATAAAGTCCATAATTTAATTTTGAATTTCAAAATAGCTACTAACTGTCACTAGAAACTTGACATCAGCCCTCTTGGTTGCCATTTTATTGAAAAATGGCTCTTTATTCAAAATCTGAGCTAGATAGGTATAGGAAACCCTAATATAGTTTGAAAGAGCATTTGAACCTGCTTCGATATATTTAAAAAAATACAGGGTGTTGTATTTGAAATAACGAAGTTTTTATGTAAAATAAATATTTAAAATAGACCAGTAATTTTTGATACCCCTGTATAAATTAAACCAAGCAATCAAATTTTTCAGTAAAGTTTATTTCTCTGGCTTAAAGGTCAGCACAAGAATTAATTCTGAAAAGCAATGTACAGGGTGTTATAATCTATTCTATTGTAGCCTGCATTTTTAAATATTTTTAAATATCTCAAAAACCAAAGATTTTAAACATATTTAACCCTTATAATAAATACCTTTTTTTGGACCCAAGAATCCAAAAATGAAATAAAATACAGTGTGTTCCATAAGAAAAAATATAACTTTGATATGTATCTTAGTTCTGAAACTCCCTGTACATTTCAAAATAATTTTAAATTGTGTACATTGCCACCCCACATATACTCATAAAATATTTTGTTTTTACATCTTTCCGTTTTCGTATAACCAAACGAGGTGAATGAGGTGCGCCACCCTGTATAAAGATTTCTTAAGTGACGTAATTGAGCACTAGCCATTTTTGGAAATTCTCTATTCTTTATGCGCCCTTTTTATAAGCATAAAGTTACCTGTGTTAAGGGATTTTAGTTAGGTGTGAGAATTTGTATAAAAGTCGTTATTATCTGGTCTAAAAATATGAAATTTTCAAAAAAAGGTTTTTTAAATGACGGAATGAGCAGTAAAAATCGATTTTTGGAAATGCATCTCCTTGGGTGGTGATACAAAGAGTGAAAACATTACGAAAATGTCTTACTATCTAGAAATATAAAAGTAATAATATATAGTATATATAAGTAATTTACCCTAAGTACCCTTAAGTGAAGTAACTGAACATTAAGAAGCTTTTCTGGAAATCCATTTCCTAAGGGGTAATAATTAGGATTGAGAGTTTGCATTCTTCGTAACAAACTGTTATAACTAGTTTTAGGAGCACAGAAATTTCCGGCAGATTCTTGATTTCTTGTCCAACATTCTCTGTGCTTATGAAAAATAGAAAAAGTACTGGAAGCTGCTGTTCTTGGAGATATAAATCAGCGAAAATAAGATGCTATATTTTACATATTTTAAATAATAGAGTAGACGCTATTGTATATCGGCCTGAGTTTTACGGACATTTTAATTTATATAATCTGCATGAATAATCCAAGAGTAAGATGTTTTACTTGAATTTTAGATGTACTAAAAAAAGACCAGATTACTAGACCAAACTAGACTAGCCTTAAACCTAATCTAACTTAAATGCCTTAAACATATATCAAAATAAATTACATTACATGTTCCTGAGCGTATTATACCGAATGATTGAAAAAAAACGACGTCCAGTTGGCTTGGAAATGAACATCGATTACATTCCCCATATAATTTTACATATGCAATTACAGCGATCTTCATCGTTATTATTTTTATAGCCATCGCTGACGCATTTTTTTCTTCGATTATACGGTACCTAGAGCAGGAGAACGCAATCAGCTTTGCACAAAACCGGTACTGAAATCGTTTTAGACAGGTTTTTTGATTTTCATATTATCATGAATCTATTTTTCTGCACCGATTGAAGCCGGTCTTCAGGTATCGATTAAAATTGATTTTTCGGGACCGATTTAAACCGGTCTTCGGGTACCGGTACCGAAATCGGTCTTGTAAAAGACGATACCGATACCGGATTATTTTAAAAGTACCGGTCTTACTACCGGTATACCGGAAGACCGAACATGCCTACTCAATAATCCGGCTTTTCGGATAATACGGATCGGCCTTGTTTTAATTAATCCGGATTAGTGAGTCTCCACTGTATGCAGCCCGGATTGTCCACCGAGAACCTCATTGGAAATAAGGTAAATTTTGAGAAAAAAAAGGAACCGTTTTTATAGGAAACAATAACATCTTTAGCAATCCAAGTATGGAAATCTGCAAGATATGGTAACCATTTATAAAACGTATTAGTGGTGGTTTACTCGGTGGACAACTTCATGCTTGACCGCATCCAAGTTCTTCTCCTCATGTTTTTTTTCCAATTTTCTGCTTTACTATAATATAAGCCGGGTAGCGGGTAGGCACTTCTTCACGATCCGGTGGAGGATAGGTTTACTTCAGGAATGCGCCCCTGCCCACGCAAGCCATGATTTCCTCTACCTCCTTTACTTTAGGGGGAATCATGTCCCAAACCCTTTATCCTACCCTATTCCAACCAATTATCCTACCCTATCCCCCTACCCACTACCAACCCGCAGGGCTAGCGTGGTAGAGTATAGCCAATTCCCCCTTAACTATGGAAACGTCTTCCAAGATACGGCCCTCAGTCTCCGGCAGCTCAAACTCCCTCGACTATGGTAGCGGCCGAGTAAGGAAAAGAGCAGAGGGTGCTAAGAATCCCCGGAGTGAACCAGGCTACCTTAATAGACGAAAACTGCATATTGCCACTTTTAACGTTCAAACCCTGCCAAGGGATGAGAAATTATTGGAATTGGAGGAAGAATTACAACATATAAAATGGGATATTGTGGGTCTAAGTGAGGTAAGAAGAAAGACCGAAAATCAAATAGAATTGAAATCTGGGAACCTTCTTTATCATCAGGGAAATAACGAATATGCTCTGGGCGGTGTAGGCTTTCTGATTAACAAGAGACATATTAAGAACATCGTAGACATTGGAAGCATCAGTCCTAGAGTCATATCTAACCCTTCGTTTGAATAACCGTTACTCTCTAAAAATTGTACAAGTCTATGCCCCAACGTCAAATAGCACGGAGGAAGAAATAGATATTTTTGGGACGTCTCCAAAGCTCTATCAATCAAATCCCAATTTACAATATTAATGGGTGATTTTAATGCTAAAGCTGGACAAAAAGAAGATGAAACAGAAATATGCGTGGGTACATATGGTTATGGTGAAAGAAATGAGAGAGGAGCGAAAATGATCCAATTCACGCTGCAAAATGGACTATATGTAATGAACACCTTCTTTAAGAAACATCCAAATCGAAAATGGACCTGGGCAAGTCCGGACGGAATTACCAAGAACGAGATAGATTTCATCATGACTGATAAAAAATGGATAATTAGAGATGTACAAGTATTGGGCGAATTCTCCATAGGAAGTGACCACCGAATAGTTCGAACTAGAATTGAATTCAACCTTAAATCTGAACGACAAAAAATGATAAGGAAGAGGACCATGAGAAAATGGGTAACACCAGAAAAGCCAGAAGAATATAGAGCAATGGCAGCTGAATCTGGAATCTGGAAATCTGGAAAGAATGAAAAATATGGAAATTGAAGATATAAATAATCACATTGTAACTATTTTAACGCAAGCTATTAAAGAAAATTGTCCTAAAAAGGATAATCAGGGAAACACAAAACTAACCCAAAACAATAAAGACCTGATAAAGGAACGTAGAGTTATGATAAACAAACATAATAAGATGATTATAGGAAACTTAACAAGAAGATATCAAAAGAGATAAGGAAAGACATCAGAACCCACAATACCAACAAAATAACGCAACTCATTGAGAGAAATCAAGGATTAAAAGTTTTCAAAAAAGAGGCAATCATAGGGAGAGCACTAATTCATAAATTGCAAAATGCAGAAGGACAGATAACATCAAATAGAGCAGATATTCTGCTTGTTACGGAAAATTTCTACCAGCAGTTAATGACAACCCAAACCCTAGAAACTCGTATAGTACCATACCAACTGTGATGAATCAAGGCTCAGAAGAAATCCCAGATATTACTTTAGATGAAATATCGGCGGCATTAAACTTTATGAAAAATAATAGGTCTCCCGGTGACGACAATATAGCTATTGAAGCCATTAAAGAAGGAGGAGAAAAGGTTCTCAAGGCTTTGCAAATATTATTCAACAAATGTCTTGTCGAAGGAAGAACGCCATCAGAATGGGATAATGCCAATATAATCCTATTACATAAAAAAGGGGACAAAACAAACCTTACCAACTATCGGCCTATTAGTTTACTGAGCCACACATACAAATTATTCACAAAAATCCTCACAAATCGTCTCTCCCTAAAACTAGAACAATATCAACCAAGAGAACAGGCTGGATTTAGATCGAACTTCGGTACAAATGACCATCTGTTGGTGGTGAAGTCCCTAATAGAAAAATGTGTTGAGTATAATAAACCCCTCATTTTAATATTTGTCGACTACGAAAAGGCATTCGACTCTATCGATCAACACAAATTATTCAAGGCCCTAGCCGAATGTCGTATAGACACCCGTTATACTAACCTTTTAAAATATATATACGACCATGCAACAGCATCTGTATCGCTACACGAAAACACAAATAAATTCCGTATTAAAAGAGGAGTACGGCAAGGCGATACAATTTCCCCCAAATTGTTCATAGCACTATTAGAATATATGTTCAAAAGACTAAACTGGGAGGAAATGGGCATTAATGTTAACGGGGAAATGCTCAATAACCTGCGTTTTGCTGATGACTTGGTGCTGATTACAGACAAAATACACGAAGCTCAAAATATGCTAAAAACACTTAAACGGGCGTCAGATCAAATTGGACTACGCATAAATTATTCAAAAACCAAACTAATGACTAATCTTGTTATTAGTGGAAATGTCTCGGTAGACGGAGCAAATATAGAACAAGTATATTCATATAAATATCTGGGGCACGAAATAACAATTGGCCGCGATAACCAGACGCACGAGATACAAAGAAGAGTAGGACTAACATGGGCAGCATTCGGCAAACTAAGATATGTGTTAAAATCAGATCTACCAATGTGCTTAAAGAGGAAGGTGTTCCATCAGTGCGTTATGCCAGTACTTACATATGGCGCAGAGACACTTACACTGACGAAAAAGTCCATAGAAAAAATCCGTGTAGCCCAACGAGCTATGGAAAGAGCAATGCTTGGTGTATCTCTAAGAGACAAGATACCCAGTACAGTTATAAAACAGCGTACACGAATAACAGATGCTATATATCTGCTTAAAAAACTCAAATGGAACTGGGCTGGGCAATTGCCAGAAGAACGGATGATAGATGGACCAAGCTAATACTAGAATGGCGGCCAAGACAAGATGCTCTCAGAAACAGAGGCAGACCTCCGACAAGATGGTCAGATGACTTGAAGAGATTTAGGGGAAACTGGATCCAAGTGGCACAGGACCGAGAAGAGTGGAAGGATTTGAGGGAGGCCTACGTCCAGCAGTGGACACTTCAGGCTGGTTGATGATAATATAAGCTGAGTAGTTTTAGGATTTAGATTAGTTTAGACTTAATAAGGGTGAGTGATGCGTCGTGTAATTTAAAATAAATAGACATTGGAAGTCCATAATTCTTTTAGTATCATTAATTATTTACTTTTAGAACAAGGCCCTTGAATATGAACGATAAATGTTTATGCTATATAATCTTCCCCTAGGAGATGCAAGACCTCGTCGTTGGTGGGGAAGCTCCTGGTCAGGTGCTGAGGGGAATCACCTCTAGCACTTTGGCTTGGTTTAAGAAGCATCTCACTCATTGTCTTGTCTCTGGCTGTAGTGTCGTTGCCAGGGAATTGCACCAAGACATTTAACCAGGCACCTTCTACTGTCTGTGGTCAAGTCTCGCGGGTAGAGGGTGTGGGGGGGTCTTGGCTTAACCGCCCGGACCAAGAGGAGACAACCTCACCAAAAAACCTAAATCCTACGATGGTGGGACCAGGTCAAAGGGATGCGTGGCTAGATTTATCTAGTAGAGGCTAGTCTCTAGACTAGCCTCTACTGGTCTCTAGACTAGCCTCTACTGGTCTCTAGACTAGCCTCTACTGGTCTCAACCTTGGGGCATCAGGGCATTGTATTTACCTCTTACTTCTACATGCGGGGCTCTGTAGAAGTGGACTGACTAACCCTAGCTACTCGTGGGAACACTATGAGATCAAACAATCATAAAAACACCACCGGCGAAGCTGTGGGGAAACCCCCTAGTAACACTGGAAACATTATGAACGAAAGTTCTAAGGGATCAATCCCAAAGGGAACTACAGGAGAGGCGGCTGACACTTGTGCGAGGCCAGCCTCCACAAGTGGTACACAAGCTACCACCTCTTCTAGTAAGGGTCGGGAGTCCACCTCTAGACCCAACAAGCGACACCAGCTACCGTTCCGTCTACCCGGCTTGGGCCAACCAGGCGGGTTAGACGATCCGCTGAGAGTAGGTCTTAGCGGAGCACAAGCACGGAGATACCTCCGACTGCTCAACGAAGGACTTGCTCCGGAGGAAGCAAAAGCCAAAACTCTCCTTGAAAAAGGAACCAAGAAACAACCTGGCGCATCTCCACCAAAGGGCAAGAGAGGGAGCGAAAACCTCTCCCCTTTGCTCCGACAAGGAGAGAAAAAAGCCAGGATGGAAAGCCGTCCCACACCGAGAGGCAAGCAGGGACGTATCACTAGCTATGCCGCTATTGCTGGACAAGTGAAAATTGCGGTGCTGCCAAAGGAATATCCGGAGGTTGTACTGACTACCGACCCGACGCAACGATCCACAAAGTGTGGGTCAGCTGCGCTTTGCGGGGATACACTTTAGGGTGGGTATGATCCTCATAGATTGTGCATCTGAAAAATCAGTTGGTGGAAACGGCACCTAAGCTTAAAAATAGGCAGGGCCGGGACTGGTTGCAATGAGGGGAGAAAACATCCCTAAAGGGACAACCATCACGGTCTTTCTGCTAAGAAGCAAGGGGAAAGACACCACCTACCTGCTAGACCTTATCCAAGCTCAGAACGAGAATGTGAGTACATCGAGCTGGCGAGTCCCCAACTCGAAGGAGGAGGGCCATGGTCAGGTCCTCACAATAGGAATTGACCTCAAATCCAAGGAGGCAATAGAGAAAGAGGGATATAGCCTCTATTATAGATTCGGGATGGTACCGGTATCAGGTCCAAGAAAAGAACAAGCTAAAGAGGGGGAGAAAATGGAGACAAATACTCCAGCCTCCATCTCACAAGTACCTCAGCCGGAGACAAGTTCCTCGACTGTGAAGGACACGGATGGCGTAACTCCAACCGTGAAAGGGTGTATATCCTCGGAGGAGGTTGATGACCACTCCTCGGAGGAGGAACATCTGTTGTCAGGGGGGGATGGGAAATACCCTGTCCTCCCTACAACAGAGGGATCCTTACCTACCCCAGAAACCTGATGCATGGGATATCCCAAATAAACCTGCACCATGTAAAAGGGTCTTCCGCCACAATCACAAGACTCTTTGAGAAAAACCAATATGTAATGGTACTAGCCCAGGAACCCTGGGTGTACCAGGGACAAATTAAAGGGTTGCCTGGAAAAAATTCCAGTGTAATATATGATAACAGGCAGGAATTTCCCCGAGCCTGTATTCTTATAAGAAACAACATTAACTACACATGTGTTTCAGAATTTACAACCCGAGATCTTGTTCCAATCATGGTTCAACTTAATATCGAGGATTGTAGCAAAAATATCGTGATACTGCATACTTTCCGGGTGATGGGCAGACACCGCCTCCGGAAGTAGAGGAGCTCGCGCGATTCTGCAGCCAACGGCGACTACCTCTGCTATTGGGATGTGACTCCAATACGCACAATGAGGTATGGGGAAGCACTAATACTAACACTAGAGGTGAGTGATTACTAGAATTCCTCTTAGCATACAATCTTGAAGTTCTCAATATAGGGAACAC